ACACACACACACACACACACACACACACACACACACACACACACACATACAGACAACCTAATTTCCCTGCTCATTTGCATTACATGGTATTTTAAAATGTGCACTTAATGGCACTGATACAACATAATCGTAGCAATTCATAATCAACATATACATTCGTCACATGGTGTAGAAGGATGCGCACACACACACACACTGCTCGACTACAGTGAAATTACAGGGTAGTTATATCGCCATTGTTCTGAGTGGATGCTTTTACCGGTTACCTTGGGAACGCAGCGGTTGAGCCGGGTACTACGCTGTCTCTGTTGTGCTCTCATGCTCGTTCTCTGTTTCCTTCATCTTCACCTTCTATCTTGTTATCAGAACTTTCCAAAATATCTCCTTAGGTCTCCAGATTGATCTTTTCATGGGAAGCATGGGTCATGATCTGATATATCTGATACAATGAGATCACATTAAAGGATAATCATCCCTTGCAGGTAAATGTGAATATTGCAGCAGCACAGGAATACACAGCGCAATATAAATGTGACTTTTAGTGCTGATATTGTATTTCTTAGAGGACCAAAAGCAGCATTGATCTTTCTGTCAGAAAACTCAGGTGGAGTTGATATTTGTCTTCTGGTCTTTGATGTCAACAATTCATAATAGCATTGAGAAAATAAAGATATATACACCCTTCAAACATCTTTATGAGGAAAAGTGGGCCCTAGTCTGAACGGGGAGGAGAATTGTTTTATTTTGAAGTCTATCGCCTCAACAAGACAGCTTGGAAGTGGCTCCACAGTCATGACAAAAGTTAAATATGTTTATTAGCTGAAAGGGAAAACAATAAAGAGAAAGCTTTATTAAGTTAGTATATTGCATGAGTTGTAAATTTAAGTTCATGAGGAATAATTTGAGATCCTCTCCCATGATTGTTACCTCTCATGCCAGGGTGTGAATCTCCTCCACTTCCTAGTATTCCTGCTCCATCTTTTCTTCTTCCTTCCTTCCTTCCTTCCTTCCTTCCCTGCTCCCTCTCCCCTTAAGCCCTTCGTGCTGTGTATATAAGTGCAGTTAAGTGTGTGCAGAGGAGATTGTGTAGCGGTGGGATGCGTGCTGGCTCGAACAGCAGGACATCTGACATTTACAACACAACAGACCCTCTGTCTTGTACACTGGCAGCCTTCCTGCATGACTGGCACACTGCCTGGAGAGGTTTGCACCTGGATAAGTGTGTGTATATGTGTGCGTGTGGGCGCTAATGTGTTGGTGCGTAGAAAGGAGAGAAAAAATAACCCTCTTTGCATGTCCGTTTAAATGTGAGCACGCGTGTGTATATAGAGCATATTTGGAGGCATCAGCTGTACTGTGTGTGTGTGTGTGTGTGTGCAAATGTGTGTCTGAATTTTGGCATGGCTTCATTTTGTGTGGGTGGGTTTGCGTGTGGCTTTATAGAAGAAGAAGAAGAAGAAGAAGAAAGGAGCAGAGTGTAGAAGAGAAATTGAGTTGTTATCACATAATTAAGTTAGCGCCGTGCTAATTTGCCCAGTGTCATTATGAATAAACAGAGTTCACATAAAGAGAGAAGCCTGTGCGTGCCCTCTGAGGATGAATGGAGGAAGTGAAACATTGTTTTTTTTTAGCTTGTTTTCTCTCATCCATCTCTATCTCGTGTTTGTCTCTCTCTCTGGCTCATCTATCGCTCACTTCATGTATCAGCAGACGTGTGTTAACCTTTGTATTGATCGTCTGAGCGCGGTTGTCCAGCTGTCACTCAAGACTGTCAGTCAAAGAGCTGAACTTGTCTAACGAGTCATACAGAAAAGATTCGGGCTCTAAACACTTTAGTTTAAACTTTAGTTTCAAGGGATTGTTTGGATTTTTTGACTTGGGGTTGTTTGAGGTATCCACAGTCAGTAGATGGCAGTCGGCACGCCCCCCTGTTTGGAGAAGCAGACAGGAGTACCGGCACGGATGCAAACCAATGTACTGCTGTGGACGGGTGCAGCAAAACATGTTTTAGCCACCTTAAAGAAAGACCCACCTAAAAAAGCAGTATCAGGTTAAGTGTTACCTATATTTTCACCAGAAATGTCATATTTGAGTTTGGCATCAGAGGAATCCCAATCCGAAAGTAGTTGAGGATTTTTCGGCTTTTATTGTCAAGGAGATACCAGTGAAAAATAAAACTGCATCAAAACATTCACAGTCTTGATGAAACGGTTTAGCTTCCAATTTGTGGGTGTAAATTGTTGTGAACTTTTTCCTAATGTAGTCAAGGATATTCGATGTGTTGATAAAAATCCTTAAAGCATCATTTACCTTTTTGGTTGTCATGAATAATGCAGTGAAATATAACGGCACTTTAATAAATACATTTGAAGTGACACCTCTGTTAAAACAATTTCAACAAAAAACTGATCAATGTAAACCTCATGACGGAAATATTGCATCAGCCTGCATCTGTCTAGGCGTTTCGAATAGACAATAGGCAATACAGAGTGTGTTTCATTTGTATTTGGAATTGTGGAGGTGTGCACATGTCTGAGCAGGTGCATGCACAGATTAAATGAATGTGATAATTAGTGTTTCAGTGTGTGTGTGTGTATACGCATTAGATTATGCAGATAAACAGAGAAATGCACTCTGTTCCGAATGAAAACGGCATGTCATTAGAGTCTGTCACATGTTTATGTTTGTGTGTGTGTGGGGGTGTATGCGGGCATACGTGGCTGCATAAGGACGCCTCCCTTGCTGTGAATGTTCGTTGCCAGCCACAGGTTTCCCCCAACCGCCGCCGTGCGAACGGCCGGCTGACGCCACAGTGTGTGTGGAGGAGGTTTCCTCTGCCGCGGTGACTTTAACTAAGAAGTTCAGACCTCACCTTGAGAGCAGAATAAAGAAAAGGAAAAAGGAAGAACGATAACGAATAAATGCAAGAAAAACATTCAGATTTAGAGAGGACGGCAGGGTTGCTAGGCAACACAGAAATTCACAGGACATCAGGCGTGGGATGTCCACCATTGACAAATCTCAGTCACCGTCATCGCAGAGGCGTCAGAGCAGTGCGCAGATACACACACGTCAGCGTTTTCTGACCACGTCTCCCATCTCTTAGTTTTTCCTCCCTGTTTCTGTCTCTTTCTTCGCTCAGGCGTCCCCGTTATATTTCTCTTTCTGCAGGTTTCCTCTCATGAGTGGGTGGCGGCAGCTGACCTTTAATGCTTTCAGCCCGGGGAGTTGAGGGTGGGGGGGGGGGGCGCTGGTCTGTGTCGCACTGGCAGAGGTTAAGATCAGAAACCCACGATGACTCTTGCAGATGTTAAGGAACATCAAAGTGTTTCTGAGAGGGCAGATATGATGTGGAGAGCTGTCGAAGCCTGTAAACGAAGGACTGAAAGCGCTCTGTGGGAGGTTGGGTGAGGTTTTAGATATTATGTAAACAGTTTTGGGATCAAACGTTTTATGACGTCTAATTTGAATAGCTCAATATTGTTAAGATTTTGGCTGTAATGTCAATGGCCTAATATATTTAAAGCAACAGCCTTAAGCTGATAAGCTGTTTCCTTCCAGGTAAAGTCTCTATGATAAGTTTAAAAATGACTATTAATTATTAATTAAGGATGTTTCTGTCTTTATGTGGATTTCGATTATGTTATGCATTTCAAATTACACAAATAATGTAAAAACAACATCAGAATTTGGTCTAATTCTTTCTCCTTCTCTTTCTTTCTCTTCTCTTTCCTCGCTGTTGTTTCCCACCTCTCCTCTCCTCTTCTCTGTTTGCTGCTCTCTGTGGAACCGTCGGGACGTGATGCAGCTCTGCGCTTACACTTATGTTGTTAATGGCTTTATGCCCTGCAGACTCTGCAGCTATATACTGTCTACCTGTCAACCTAACAGTCAACACACACACCTATAGCTGCTGTCAGACACTTTTTACTGAAATAGATTAGGTACACACACAGATATGCTGCGACTTGACGTGTGTGTGTGTGTGTGTGTGTGTGTGTGTGTGTGTGTGTTTCCTGCTGGGGTTCAGATATCTTGTTGTCCTTGAGGTAAACAGGAAAAGGGAGAAAAGATTGGAGGATGAGACGCAGTAGCTTCAATTTAAAAAAAAAAAAAAAAAAAAGAGACCACCGACAGGAAAAAAGTGCATCCCACTGCTCTGCTTCTACTACAGCACAGCCACTATTACCCTGGTGTTGATGTGCCCTTGAGCAAGACATGCAACCCTAAAATGCATCGTAGGAGGAGCGGTGAAATGTGTCGGTGTGTGACCAAACCAAGCGAACATCCCAGTGATTGGCACGTAAAAAACACACAAACATTCACAAACTCTGGTGACAAGGCGAGATTAGCTGTCTGTGTATTGATGTGTACATTTAATTATTTACTTCGTTAATATTCAAGGAAAAGTCACTGTGCACATGCAGGTGAATATGCGTGTAACATCTTGCTTGTGTGTTGATTTAAATGGGGAGTTAATATTTCATTAGAAACACTGCATTGTGGCCTCAGATGATGAATAAATATGCAGAGCTAATGCTGTTAGCACACAGTTGTTGTTTCTCCTCCTGGGAACACAGTTATGGAAAGACAGTTATGGAAACAAAATCTCACTGCAATAGTTTTTTCTTTCATTCTGAGTGATTTATTCTCAACTATCAGGTTTGTTCAGAGACACTAAGGCAGCAGCAGTGTGATGTAGCGTTACCCTACAGGGATCAATAAAGTTTAATTCAATCTGTAATCAGTAGAGATTTATGTGTCCCAGGAAAAGGGTCGGTCGCTGTTAAAGCTGTAGTTCAGTATTTTGGGACGTGCGTTTATTTGCTTTCTTGCTGAGAGTTAGAAGCGAAGATCAGTGCTACTAGATGATTCTATAAGAAGAGATAGAGTCTGTGAGTTTTTTGCATGAATGACCCACATAT